CTTGCCCACACACGGGATCAACTAAGTCCTAGAGGAGAACAACACAACGTCCACTCCAAGGGACAACTTCCCAAGGAGGGTTTTTCAACAAATTGGGCTCTCAGAGCACCACAACTATCTCAATCCACACAATGGGATGAGCAACTTCAAAAACATCTCCCCTAGTCCTAGTGATCACAACTCATCATCACAACTTAATCAACTTAACAACTTAAACAACATATAACCTTTCAACTCATCATCTAAATTAACATTCAACTTGAACAACATAGTTTATCAGCACATTTTAATTTATATAACATAATTGTGGAGATTAGTTATTCATTTAAATAGTTAATGCCTTTGATTTAAACTAAATGTTAAAATTGATTAAAATAAAAAATATTCAAAATGAATTTAGCCACAATCAATTTAAGTTAAATATGTTGTAAAATAGTTTAAGTTTGTATAACTAATTCATATGAAAAAAATAACTTTGTTTGAGAATTGTTAAACCATCTCAAACCATTATAATTTATATGTCTTTTCATTATATGCATTTAAAATATCGGTTTAAACTTTAAAGATCATATGGATTTTCATTCGTTAAAAAAAAATACGAAAGAAAAGTGTATTTGACTTTTTTTAGTTATATACAGATTTAGCCAAATAAACATTTTTGTTAAATTATTATAAAACTAGCTTTAAACAATTTATTATTAAAAAAATAAATTTTCGAAGGTTTGATATTAAAAAAATGATATTAGAAAAATGAATCGAAATTCAAAATATTTTTAAAAATATAATTGAAAATATTAAATTTATTTATTTGATAAATTGTTTTTAAAACATATATGTAAATATATTTTAATATTTTTTTTTTCAAATCTCATAGCTGAAATTAAATCAATACAATTAAAAGGTAAAAAAATTCTATTCGATAACTAAGTATACCCACAGCATAATAGTATCTTTTAATATTTATATTAATATATAAACAACTCATCATCACAACTTAATCAACTTAACAACTTAAACAACATATAACCTTTCAACTCATCATCTAAATTAACATTCAACTTGAACAACATAGTTTATCAGCACAACAACTCATCACAAATTGTTTAACAACACATTTTAACAACACAACATCTCATTTCAACTTTAAACCACACAATCAACTCAACAGCTTATTAGCTCAACTCATAATTTACAACTCAATCATCATAAAATAATATATTTTCAACACATGGCACAACATACAACTTATAGCAACATACAACTCTATACTCAATATGCATCTCCATGTAATTATACAACTTCTTATTCAATTATACAACTATGCAACTCTTTTCTAACAACTTAACAATATTATCATCATGCACTTCACAACATATACATGTCCACACATAATATATAGCAACTTTATCAACTTAATTTCAACTAGCTTCAACAATATCATAGATCAACACAACTTGTAAACAACTTCACAACTTAACTACAACATGCATCTCCAACAACATCATTAATAAATATTTAATCATATATTAGCAACAAACAATATTTTCATCACCTAACATAACTCATACTAATCAACCTAAGTACCCAAAGGAGTTCCCAACTCACATACAACCAACAACTTTACAATCTAGCTTCCCTTACCTGAAGATTGACTCAGAATAGCCAAGAAGCAGAATTCCTTTTCTGAAGCTCAACCCGGAACTTCAATCCACCCAAAGCAAGCTTCTTAGTCCATAGTCATTCTCTCTAAAACTTCTCTCTAAAAACCTCCTCATCTCCTCAACCACCCAACTCTATTTATAGAAGTTCAGGAGTGTAAAAATTACATGCAAAACGGCCCATTCTGAAATCAGAACGGCCCGTTTTGGGACTCATCCAGAAAGGCCCGTTCTCCATCTTGAACGGTCCGTTTTGGGGTTTGGAACGACCCGTTCTTCCTCCAGAACAGCCCGTTCTCAACCACGATTTACAGGTCAATTTAATAGCTTTGAACGGCCCGTTCCAGATTGGGAACGACCCGTTCTGGACTACTAAATCACCTATATTAGGCTTTCTAAAACAACTTGCTACGTTACAAAACATATAATTAAACATATAATGAGTGTGTGAGGAACAGAGAGACAAATGAAAAAAAAATGAGTGGAAAATCGATAAATGTCATAAATGGTATGATACAAATAAAAATAAAATTGAGTAAAAGTGAAATGTGTGGGGAAAAAAAAGGTGTAAAGATCGGTTTGATTGTTAAAAAATGTGAGATTAAATATGGTAAAATAATTATTTTACGGTTGATTCACAAAAATATAATGAGATAAAATAAATAAGATGAAAAAATACAAGGTAAAAATCATATTTTTTTAATTAATAAATTATAGGATAACTTTATATCATAAGTAGAAAAACACTCACAGTTACTATTGTTGTGTGTGATATCAACACCATTACCCAAAGGAGTTCCCAACTCACATACAACCAACAACTTTACAATCTAGCTTCCCTTACCTGAAGATTGACTCAGAATAGCCAAGAAGCAGAATTCCTTTTCTGAAGCTCAACCCGGAACTTCAATCCACCCAAAGCAAGCTTAAAATCGAGTCATGCAGTTCAACCAGTGACCCACTGGTTTAACCTTTGACCCACTGACCCAATACCTTAACTGGTTCGATGAACAGTCCGATTTTTAAAACTACGACTAAAACAGTCGAACCCACGTAAAAAAAAATTGTCTTATATATATTAGTTGACATGGCAAATTAAGCCCCAAACACAAAATCGAGACTGCATGCAAAAACATAACGTTTATTTAGGGGCGAAAAAAGAGAGGAAAAGAATATAAGAAAGCAAAGAAGCTTAGAAGGTTGCTTGGGTGAGTGTAGTAGTGTTGTAGAAAATGGAGACTCTGAAAGCTGCGATTCCAGAATCCCTGAAGCGAGCGATAGGAGATAGCACTGTTTACGATCTTCGCAGCACGTGTTCCTCTCTTCACAGCTTCTTTCTTCACTTCGATCCATTTCAGCAGGTAAACCTTCTCCCTTCGCAACCAATAAAATCAAACCCTAATTTCCTGTTCCGACTCTTCGGTGGTTGCGTTTCAGATGATCACTGAACTGGCGGATCCCAAGTATGCTCTGTGCGGCAAGAGTAAGGACGATGCTTCCAAATCCAAGCAGCTTGGCAATCAATGCTTCTCCAATGCAGATTATGCGAAGGCCTTGGAGTGCTATACTCAGGTTTTTCTTTGGGCTTTAATTTTTATTCAATTGTATTGGTGATTGAAATGTGTTGTGCATTCATAGTATAATTGAAAGAGTGCTGATAATGGCTTTGCGTATTGTCGGTTTAAATAGGTCTAGTCATATTCTCACTCATTCTTATGACTATTCCTTACTTGCTCTTGTAATATGATGGATAGGCATTGCGCAAGGCTCCATTAGACACTGGTGACATGGAAAGTAATCTTGTTGCAACATTATATGTCAATCGTGCTACTGTATTACATGTAAGTTCTACTTTGAAGTTAGCCCTAAGGGTGTGTTTGGAAAAGTTGTGAAAATTAAATTATTTCAATAATCGATTATATGTATAATCGATTATAATCAGAATAAATTGGTTTGGCTAAATTTGATGAAAAGCGATTTTGAGATATTTAATTTGGATTATTTTACAAATAGCTTTTTTCTCCAAAAAAAACAGCTAAATTATAAGATTATAAGCTGTCCCAAACATGCTTAAAGTCCCTAACAACACACTTTTTATTTATTTATTTATTTTTAAATTAAGGACTTGATACTGTAATTGAGTATTCATGCATGTATATTTCCTGCAGAAAATGAATCTTTCAGTAGAATGTTTGCGAGATTGCACTCGAGCTCTTCAGATTTGTCCAAGCTATGCAAAGGTGAAAATCAGCTTCAGTGGTTACCTGTTTTTTCCTCATGAGTCTACTTGTTTTATGTAGTTATACACCATTATAGAACGTGTTGAATTCTTGCATTTGTACCAGGTTTGTTTTGATATGTGCAATGAGTGTTTGTAGATTAATTCATTCATGAGTGGTTAAAGAAATATCAATATCCTTTTTTTTTCTCGGTTTTCGTGATGGAAGTATAAATAAATGAGTTTAGTGACAAAAAAATGTGATTAGTTTTATTTGTACTTTACCTGATTATGATATTTGCAACTTTATTGGGGTTCACTTGGGATTTCAGTTATTAACAATTTAACATGATAAATTTTAAATAATGTGTATTTTGACATGTATTTTTTCCTTTTATCATAATGATCAATATCTGTTGTGGCACAAATGAATATTTAGGAATATGTTGATGTAGATTGATGTGGCAAAGAATATGGATGCAAACTTAATTTTAGTTTCAAATTTTCTTTTAATAATTTATTATTTTGGCCTCAGGCATGGTACAGGAGAGGGAAGGCAAATGCTTCATTGGGAAATTATAAAAGTGCAATCTGCGACCTAAATGTGGCCAAGAGTGTGGAACCTTCAATGAGTGGGAAGAGAAAAATAGAATGTGAACTGAAAATTCTTTTAGATCAATGCAAGAGTACAAGTGCGGTAGTACAGGATAAGAAGTACAACTGCAATGCTGTGGGTAAGAAGCTTTTCTTGTTAAGGACATGAGCTGCAAACTCTAGGAACTATCTAGTTGATTGAGATATTGTTGAGTGCAGTTTCATTGTGCTTATAGCATTAAAGTATGTTTAAAGTGACATCTTGTGTAGTGTTAGAGTATAACCTGGGGCTCTACTTGTATAATTAATGCGTGAATAACTTCTCTAGGAAGCTTCTAGCAAGCTCTAGCTGTGGTGTCTGTTACAGGCTTTTTGTTATAGGTTAATTGACTTGCAGAGTCAACACCTATGTAGCCTAGATTCTTAATATGATACAGGTATGATATAATACACAGGGATATGGGATATTCTTGAACAAACAAGAAGATACAATACAACTTAGATATGTTAAGAAAAATATATTAAAAAAAAATATATGCATATATAGTCTAATCAGTGGGATTTAGCATCCATATGCAGCAAAATCTGAAGTGAAACATTTTATACCAAAATCGGAACTCAGAATTTTATAGCCAAATCAGAATTCAAACATGAATACCACCAAAAAGAAAAGAACTTAAACAGTTAAACCATCTTCTGAACCTTCTCATGATTCCTCTGTCTAAAAGAACCCTTAGTTCTTCTGAAATACATCACAGTGAAACTTAAAAGTTGTCCCTGCTCAAAAAAAAAAAATAATCAGGGACAAAAGCCCTGCCAGGATGAAACGTCCAAGAAGATTGTTTGAAGTTGTTGACACTGTTGAAGCAGCTAATATTGATAAAGCTCCTCACTGCCATGTTGCTAAAATGACAATTGTGGACTTCAAAGAAGAAGTAGAAGCAGTTATTAAACCTGAAGTTGTCAAATTTGTCCCTTAGACTGTTGACCTTGATAAAGGGAAGACCATTGTAGAAAAAGTTGATATCGTTGAAGGATAAAGAACATAGAGGCAATAGCAGAAAGACTTGAAGAAAGCTCTGGCTCTCTCCTATGATATCAACAAAAAGACTCATGTAGGAACCGACAAACTTCCATAAGGTTTGTAGGTTGTGCGACCTTCCTATTCTTTTACCTGTTATAAAATCTTGATAGCAAGACCAAAGAATAATATCAAAATTGTGAAAAAAACTTACAAAAGTAAGATTCTGAAAAAGATAACATTGTTTCTCATCAATACATAACCAACAATTATATTTATAAATGATGATGATGATGGTCAAAGTTTACAAAAGATTACTTGTGAACAAAATAAAGAGGCATAATTACATTTCTCAGCCTCACCCTAACAGAATATGTTATTTCTTTGATAAACATTCACAATAACTACTGAATCTTTGTCCAAGTCAAGCTCTATACCAATGTTTTCAAAACTGGATCGATCATTAAACTTGGTTTAGACATTGGTTCAAGATTCAATGATTCAATTGTGGTTGAATTGTGATTAAACCAGTATTAATAAAATAATAATAATAATTATTATCAATAAAAAAATAATATTAAATAAATATAATTTTATAATACTAAAATTAAAATAAAACGTTATTTATAGATTCTTAACATTTAATGTATGTGTAGAATTCTAAACAATATATAATATAATATTTAAGTTTAAATTTTAACAAATTTACATCTAGAGTGAAAAGTATCGAATTAATATAATATAAGCTAAAAAATAAAGATATTAAAATTACAAATTAACATAAATGAATAAATTATATTCATGAGACAAATGTTAAAAATAAGTCATTCTAATTTATATATTTTTATTAAAAATATTTTAAACTAAATTATAAAAATTAAAAAAAAATATTTTTTCAATTGGACCGATTCAAATCAATTTGACCAATTCTGCCGGTTTTGTACCAATTCGATGCAAAACAGTTTTTTTGGATCAATCGAGCTGGTTAAGGATTGGTTTTTAGTTGAACCAATCCGACTGTTGGTTCAGTTTTCGAAACCATGCTCTATACTAAATTACTAATGCCTGCTAATTACTGTCTAATAGTATTGTATCAGTTTTCTCTTCTCCATTACCATCATCGAGAAAAAAGTGTGACTTCTACTTCTAGTTTATCGAGAGACAACTCAATCATTTCATTTCAGTTTGGAACTTAAGGCTTTGAGTGAAAAGAGCATGAGAGTTGAATCTTTCTCTCAGTTCCAGGTATATAAATGTATGTGTATCAAAAAAGAGATTCAAAGAGTACAATTACTGACTACAAATAGATAGAAAAGAATGGGATGCCAGATCCCTGTGACAGTCAGCTGCCTCAGTAAAAGACCAAAAAAAAAAAAACAGCTTTTACTAGTCTGCTATAAATAATACAAAACATATTAATCTAACAATTTTGTTTGTATTGTTTGCAATGCATTTTCATTTAGCATGTCATTTGCATTCACATTCATGGGTGGGATGGTAAAATGCTTTAGTGCATTTGTGATAGGTGAGATGCCCCAGATAAAATTACAGTGTGTTCCCATGCAAGATAAAGGAAGAAGCATGGTGTCATCATGTGTCATTTCACCAGGTTCTTTGGTTCATGCTGAAGAACCTTATGCTATGGTAAGAAACGACTACGTTGTCTATAATATCATGAACTATAAATTTATTTATATATCAAATTTTGGTGATGTTCAATGACTTCGTTCTGCTTAGGATGATGCACAATTAGTTTTTCAATTTGTATTCTGGCTAAAATATGACCCTCCTTCAACTTAGGTTCATGTGCAATTTATGCTATTTGTTTTCAGTTGAAGCAATCAACATCTTTATCTCATTGCTGTTGTGTAAACCAAACATTCTGTTTATTTTTCTGTTAAATTGTTTTACAAAATTCTGACTGCGATATATAAATGATAGTGTTTTTCACCTATCGTAAGCAAATAGAATTGTCAAAGAAAAAAAAACTCATTGTTTTTCTTTCTTTCCATTATTTTTAGGCAGATCATAATGGATTGTAAAATAATAAATCATTAATCTATTTAGATCCATTAAAAATTCAAATAAAAATTCAATCCATCCGATCCATTTAATGCAAAAAAAATCTATCAAATTTATTCCTTAACAATTTTTTCATGGAAGGTTATCCAATCCATTCATAAAAGTAATGTTTTAAAAATTAAATAATTTGTACTTTTGAAATATTTTATTTATCTCTCTTTTCTTTATAAGTCATTATATTCTTATATAATCTTTTAAAATTCATAAGACTTTTTTTTAATGTCAAAATAGTTTTTTAAAATCTCAATTCAATAAATATCGTATATTATAATTCAATGGATTTTGAAAAAGTAGTGGATGGATTGGATCGGATCCATTATTTATTTTTATTGTATTGGATAAATTAGATGGATTTACTTGTGAATGGATCGGATGGATGATAGATAAATAGATTAATTTGTCACCCCTAAGTTGAAATAGAACTTATGTAGAGAAAGAATTTTTACTGGAAAAAAAAAACTGAATTATTTTCCTGTTTCCTGTTTTTAAGATGGAGGGAGCTTAAATGTGAGACTTTGATTAAGAGAAAGAAAGAGTAGGATATTAACTAAGGAGATTCTTTTGAAAGTTTCAGTTGTTGTTCTTCAATATTTTTTATTTATTTAATATTATTGTTAAAATAGTTTTACATAATATTTTTTATTTCATAAATATACTTTTTGTTTGTATGAAATAACTAATTTCATATAAAGTTTTTTTTAAAAAACAGAACAAATAATTTATAGCTTAAAAAAGGAATTTTTAAGCTAAAAAAGATGAAATTTAACCAACAACTACTTTTTTTTTACATTCTTAGCTTTAGCTTTATCTTAAAAGTTATTTTTTTAAGCGAAAAAAAAGTTGGGTCAAAATAACCTTAGTCTCACACTCTTTTAAGATTTCTCTGAACATATTGAGTCCACTGTATATATAATATGACCATCAAGTCAATAGAGACTCAACATTGGGCAGGTCATTAAGACACAAAGGAATGGGTTTTTACTCAACCATAGAAAACCAGCACAACAAACAAGAATCTCTGCCAGAGTGGACAGTGGAAACAAAGCTAATCGGGAGCTTTGCTACCAAGTTGAAAAAGAAACTTATTTTATTAACCTGAATCACACCAATTACATTTCCTAGTTGTCCTTTACCCTAAAATAAGGAAATTGTGACTTAGAGATAAATAGGTAAAAAATAAAAAAGGATAAAGATTATAAAAAATTAAATAAGATAATTTTAGATCCCATAAGACATTTCTGTTTTTTACAACAGCTTGTCATCTATATTATATATATAATTGACTTATATTCACTATTTTTTGAGCCAATGTAAAATCATCCATGTGTCTTCATCTTACAACTTAAGCTTTGTACCTGACATGGTATCAAAACCTCTATAGCCAGGTGATTTAGAGTTTGATCCTTGCTGCCCCATTCTTCTAGTAAAAGTTGAATTTCAACAAAGTGGTGGGCCTGTGCATTATTTTATGCTTTGAGTCCAAAGGGCTCTTGTTTTCAGGGGTGTGTCAGAAATGTAAAACTAATACCACACCATTCATGTGTCTTCACCTAAGAAAAACTTTTAGTATAGTTGGTTAATGATAGGCATGATTTTTGTTGTCAGTAGCTTTAACTTGTAAACATGAATCCTCAGTCTTCTTGAGGTCAATGGATAAATTGTTTTCCTGTTCTGTGTATTTCTTTAGGAAAACAAACTCTTTTCTGGGAAGATAACTCGATAGTTTTTTTATCCTGCAGATAATACTAAAGCAATGTCGTGAAACTCATTGCCATTATTGCTTGAATGACCTACCTGCTGACAGAGTTCCTTGTATATCATGTTCAATACCATTATATTGCTCCCACCAATGCCAGATACGGGCAGGTGGGAAAATGTTCAGGATTCACCCAGAAAATAATGGTATTTTTAAAAACTTACCCACCGATCTTGGAGAATATGTTGCTGAAGTTATTCAATGCAATGATTCTGAAGAAGAAATTGAGGATATTAGTGAACATAAACATGAATGTCAAGGTGTAAATTGGCCTGTGGTACTGCCGTCTGAGATAGTTTTGGCTGGCCGAATACTAGCAAGATTTTTGCCAAAGTGCACATCTGAAGATATTGTAAACTTTGTGAAAAGGCTGGTACATTTTAAATGCATGCAGTTTTTCAGTCTAGTTGATTGTGTCATAGTCATTTGATTATGAGTAGTTGCATGCTTATGGCTTCTATCCTTCTCACGCAGGAGCTTTCTCATTGTTACAAACATATGCCAGCTGAAAGCAAATTGGATTCACATATATTTGCCATTGTGTTATTAAATTGTCTTCAACACTCTTGTGGAACTATGTTTTCCATAGACGGAGTCTCCATATCACAGGTTGTTTTGGCACTGTGTGTGTGCATACGCATGTGAATGTCTATTTGTACTTCTACTCTTAGCAGCTATTACAGAACCATCATACACCATGTGTAAACATTTTTCCAATATGATGGAGCACTTATTGTTGAAGAATGTAATTTATTTTGTTATTTTATTGTATTTGAATTAAAACAATCATATTCAAGTTTCATCTTCTTTTGTTAATGCAGGTTGTCGAAATTATTTCTCAAATTAAAGTGAATTGTATGACTGTTGTTCGTTTAAAATCAATAGACACTCATGGACTATCTGGTCATTTTGGAGAATTTCCATTTCAGTCCAACACGCATTTAACTAGTACTGTAGAACAGGTAAGATGTTTTGCTGCACATATTTTTTAGAATTTAATTATAATGCATTGATAGTGTAAGGATTTTTTTTATGTTGTCTTTCAATCACAAATTGCTATGAACGGTGAGTTTGTTCACTTTTATAATAACTATTAACTACTTTAAAAGTCATACTTGAGATGATTTCTAATGGGTGACATTGTAAAAATCATTACACTTTTGACAGTGCATAGAATTTAAAATTAACTTGTATTGCATCATTTTTTTATACGATTTTTTCCTTATTCTGTATTTACTTGTGAACCTCATAGCAAGTCCTACTATTAGGGGGCTTTGGTACACAAATAATTTAATTTCCTAAAAATCTGAAATTGAGAATATTAGTTTTTCATGTTTGGTTTGTTATTTAAAAAATAACACTTCCATGAAACATTGTTTTTTTTATATAGATTTCTCACAATTATTTCATGGGAGAAGTGAGAATCTAAATTTCCCAAGTTAAAAGAAAAAGTTTTAATGCGATAAAATTTCACTTTACCTTTATTCTCTAATTTAATGCATTAAAAATGTATAAATATTTTCAAAAATATTTATGACCAACCAAACACATTTTAGTCATTTCTCAGAATCAAGATTCTTGAACATGAAAAAACTTCTCGTCTACCAAACACTTCCTTATACTTTGACATTATTGGTGATGGTAATTTTCTTAGTAACTATTATATCTTGGTGGTTTTAAGTCGTTTTCTCTTTATTTCTTCCAGGTCAGAGTGGGTAAAGCTATTTATAAAGCTGGCAGTTTATTCAACCATTCCTGCCAACCAAATATTCATGCATATTTTCTTTCTCGCACTCTTTATATACGAACCACAGAAGTTGTAGCAGCTGGGTGTCAGCTAGAATTGTCTTATGGTCCACAGGTAACTTCCTTTTGGTAATTAAAAGCTGTATTTAACATTGCTACTCAGCGTTTTTGTTCAAGCCTTTTGTAGTATGTCTATACCTTTTTTCTTGATAAAGAATGCCAGTGATCAAGCATCCTTAGCTTGAGCTGTTAAAGAGTTAGTTATATTTTCATCTCAAACATGCCTCCTCGCGTAAACTCCCTTTGTGCTCTAGCCATAGACAAAACAAGGCCACACCAAACTTTGTTGTGAAATATTAATTTAATTAGAAAGAATAGGAGTTGAATGGATCGAGCTCTTGACAACTTAATTGAAGAGGCTTTGTTGCCTTGTCAACAAACCAATTCCAAAATCTCAAGAGAACAAGATTACATGAATTTTTCTATGGTTATTTATGATGGCTTTGAGGGGTAACTATTGCTCAGATAGGCAAAACTGAGGCTTGAAATAGTATAATAATTGGTTTATATCATGTGAATTACGTTATACAGAGACATCTGTTTTATACTAATAAATTAAGAATTAGGGCAAGTGCTAGTATTATAACTTCTAGTACAAGCCTAAGCCCACTAGTAGAAGATTCTTGCAATCACAGATCCTCTCACAGTAGAAAAAGAATGGAGCTGTTCTCCTTTTAAAATAAAAGTGAATGATAAAATAATCATGTACCGATTAAATGAACTTATTCTCATAGAAGTCTCACTTGACATTTACACCAAGCATTGTGTCTAACCAGTTTTAGGTGATTATAGTATGTTTGTTAGGCTTTTGCATACCTCCCTGGTTACTGGTTCTGGAATTGTATTTGTATGACATGTGGGTTCAGGTTCTCTGTTCCTTCTACACCCAAAAGAAAGCAAAACCAGGAAAAAAAAAAGTGATTTACTCATACTTTCAAATGTCAAAGATACCTTTTTTCAATTGTTCAATATACAGTTATGTTTTGCAGGTTGGGTTGTGGGATTGTAAAGATCGTCTTAATTTTCTTGAAGATGAGTACGGGTTTCTTTGTCAGTGTACTGGTTGTTCCGAAGTTAATCTATCTGACGTTGTGTTCAATGCCTTCCATTGTGTCAATCCAAATTGTTCTGGTGCAGTGTTGGAAAGCAGAGCACTTGACTGTGAAAAGCATAAAATCAAGCACTTCCCTGTTACTGACAATGTAAGCTGTTGTGATTCAGGAATTGTGTGTATTGTTGTACACATACCAATCTTATTTATAGAGTGAATACAATAAATGATAGAGATACTAATCTCTAATATTATGGAAACTAATCTAATCATATCCCTAATTGATAGTGAGGATAATAACTATAATATATGTATCCACAATATCTGTAATATATTCACTATATCTGTAACACTCCCCCTCAATCTGGAGCATATATATCATATGCACCAAGCTTGTTACAAATGTAATCAATTCGAGGTCCTTTAAGCGATTTTGTGAACACATCTGCTAACTGGTCCCCGAAGGCAGTTGGAGGTAATGGTTGGAGGCGGCGACCGGAAGTGGCGGTCGGAGTTGGCGACCAGATGCGGCGGTCGGAGGCGGCGACTGGAAGCGGCGGTCGGAGACGGCTATCAAAAGCGACAGTTAGAGTCGGCAACCGGAAGCGAGTTCGGAGGCGGCGGTTGTTGATGGCGTGGCGACCAGAGGTGGCGGTCGGAGGGGACAACTGGAGGCAGCGACTAGAGGCGGTGGTCGGCAGCGCGGTGACCAGAGGCGGCGGTTGCCGGCGCGGCGACCCGAGGCAGCGACCAGTGGTGGCGGTCGGCGACGCGGCAACCGGTGACACGACGACCGGAGGCTGCGGTTGGAGGTAGCAACCGAAGGAGGCAATCAGCGGTGCGATGA